ATAAAAGGCTGAATTTCTTCTTTGGTGCCGTGCAGTCTTTCATGATTAATTTAGTTACTTTTAATGTAGTGCTAAGGAGGCAAGCTCCCAGATTTCCAGCTTTGAAATCCCTCCTCTGAACTTTCCCACTTTCTTTGAGTTAACATTGCATGGAGAGGGCTCATCTGAGTTATCAGCCAGAGGAAATTCACACGATGGCTCGTTGGCTCATAGCTCCCCTTGCAGTCCTGCTCAGTTACATGGTCTGGTCTCTTCTGGCCTTTGTAATGCTCTGTTTGTTTTTTTTCTTTTGTCAGTTAATCAAGAGAGTCATCTCGGAAACCTTCAGTGGGGGTGTTACTGGAAATGATGTCATCATGCATTTCTTCCTCTCAACCTTACCCTTTGGTGGTGTCGGTAAGTTACTGGGGCTCCTTAAGTGTTGTGACTTGATGCATGGTGTGACCCAGGGAACAGCAGTAGTTGGTTTGTGTCCAAGTACCCCTGCGCCTGTTACAGCCGAAGGGTCTCGGTATAGCAGATCTCAGTAATAAATTCGGGGAGTACATTAGGAAAGGGGCCAAAAGAGAAAAACCTTTGGGTGTGTTCTTGGGAAGATTGACGCGTTTAGTGCAGACTGATGTGAAAGGTGCATTAAAAACATTCGCTGCTATCGGAGTGATTAGCAGTAATTGCAGGAGGAAGGGTGGGACTTCAGCATGGGGAGAATTGGAACAGATTATGGAACAGCCTACGGGAGCTTTGCAGAAGAGGGTTTGGGTGTTACAGTGCTCACAAGCTGACTGTGAACCAGCAGCATTCTGCTGCTGTGAACGGCATATGCTGTCCTGGAATTGGAAAACGGAGACGTACCCTGCAGGGCTCCTCAGGAAACCCTTCTCACACAGCACTAGTCAGATCTCGGGGCCTTGGCATGGTGCTTTGAGAGGGAGCTAAATCTAGGGAAGAGCAGGCAATGGCTCAGAGGCCCAGGGAACAGCGTACACAGGGACACAATGAAGTACTGGAGAGTACGTAGTGAAAACGGGGTGGAGAAGAGGAGGGATGGAGTACAGATGGACATCTTAGAGACGCAGAAGTGCTTGCAGAGAGGAAGGAACAACTGTTCCTCTCTGAAAGAATACAGAGGAGAAGTTGTGCTTTTAAACTGCAGCAAGGCAGATGCAGGGTAAGTAACATGCACTGCAGCTGGCAAGCAACTGGAATTTTCCTGTGCTGCTTCTTGCCCTGCTGGTGGCCTCAAGTGGCCAAAGGTTTGACTGGCGGAGCCTGTGGTGTGACCTGCCTGGGTTGTGTCCTTCAGGTAACAGCGGGATAGGCGCCTACCATGGCAAGTACAGCTTTGAGACCTTCTCCCACCGCCGCGCCTGCCTGATCAGGGACCTGAAGATGGAGGTTATGCACAAACTCCGGTACCCACCTGGCAGCCAGAAGAAGGTGGATTGGGCCAAGTTCTTCCTCTTGAAGCGGTTTAACAAGGGCCAAATTGGACTGGTCATCTTGGCCCTGCTGGGGATTGTGGCAGCGGTGGTGACGATAAAGGTGAGCTTTGGCTCTTTGCCATCTACATGAGTGTACGTGCAATTCATCTGATTTTCTGCAAGTTCCCTCTTTGCAACTGCAGTCCTTTCTTAGAGCCTGGCCTGTTTTTTCTGTCTTGATACTCGTGATACCTGTCCCACCTGAAATTATCAAGATCTGCTTCTCGCTCTTGCAAGTGCTGTCTAGAATAGAAATGTCCTCAGAGAAATCTCCTAGGCTGCTGGACTATTTGTTGCTCTGCCTTGGTAGGTGACACCTGTGAGAAGCTCCCTCCACAGGCAGAGTTTGGTACATTTTGGACAGGTCTCTTAGGAGTGATTTCAGTTCCCGTGTGTCTTCAGTGACGTTGTGAGCTGCGCCACAGCCTAGCCCAGCCGGCTGTGGTTTTGTGCTGCAGGGCCCTGGGGGAAGGGAGGCTGTGTCCTAAAGCCAACGTCTGTGGCGAGCTCTTGCTCCTTGCCCAGTTGCAGCCCCCATCTGACCTTATCTCAGTTATGTCCATTTCCTCCCCTGTTTCTGGCTGGGTAGTGCGGAAGGGTGGGATGTCCTCCCCTCTCTGCGGGAGGCAGAAGCCTGCTAGTGCTGGCCGGAGGACTCATGATGCTTTCTGAGGTGGTGGGGTAAGATCTAAAACTCTAAGTGTGATCGCTGGTGGTTCTCTGTGGCTGGCAGAACAGGCGCTATGTGTGCCTGCGTTGACTGCTCCTTGCAAACCTCAACTGTGCATCCTGGGGGTTTAGTAGGCTTAAGGGAGCAGCCACTGAGGGGACAGGAGATGGCAGGGTGGATCAGGACTCTGCCCTTCAGTCTGTTCTGTGTTGTTACTGCTGCAAGGAGACATGCAGGAGCCCAGCAAATGGGGAGATAACCTGCCTGCATATGAGTCCAGGAGGAGGCTTAAGAGCCAACAACTGGCTTAGGCCTTGAAGCACCAGCCAGGGAGGCAGGCCCCATCTAGGTGAATGCCTTCTCAGGGAAGAGGAGGAAACTCATGGCATCTTGAAATCATTTGGGTTTTCTCAGAGTCACCAGTCTGTGCTGAAGAGAAAAGCCCTCTTGATTGTGCTGGCTGTTCAGAGGCTGGGCTGGCTCAGTGTGTGTTAAAGAGAAGGTTTCAGAGCACTGCTGTGGCTGTCACAGTGAGGTAGGAGCCTTTTTCTTCTCCTGTGTGTAGACCCGATTTGAGATCGGGCAAAGCCTTGTTGGAGTAGTGAATGTGGGGCTTGCAGAAGGTTCCCCCTGGAGCCAGAGAGCAGTGCTTTCCCTGGCCGTGCTCGGAGCTTGTACAGCATCCAAGATAACCAGCAGTCAGTGCATGCTGAGGGGGCAGGAGGCAGGCGAGCCGGACCCTGGGGAAGTCACCCTGAGTGAAAGGGCTTTGCTTCAGGCTGTTCTAGAAAGGGAGCTGGTTTTGTTTCAGCAAATCCTTCACAGGACGTTGGTGTTGTGTTTTGCTTTCACAGATGGTTTACTACTGAAGAGAGGAGAAGGCGCCATGTGCAAGTCATACTCTGAGTGCTCGCTTTGTGTCTGTTTCCTTAAGCTGAGAAGTCATTTTTTTCTTTTGTACTGGGTTATTTCAATGAGCTGTCGAGCACGCAGAGTAGCCTTAGAGAGGTACTAACCAAGAGAAGGCTCGGACTCCTGTTTACTAAAAAGCCATGCTGAAACAGAGGGACCAGTGGGTACAAGCTCTCAAAAGGAGGACTGCAGAGCAAGAAATAACCAGTCCCTACCTCTACCCCATGCCATGCAGAGCGCTGCTTCCAGGGATGCGCACACTGTGCCTTGCACCAAACTGCTTACCTTCCTTCAATGACAAACAGGAGCTTAACTTTCAGCTGTGATTGGGTTGACAGTGTTTTCCCTGCAGTTTTCGGGATGGTCTGTCTTCTGCTGTGCTCTGAACAACCACCCTCTTGGTGACGAGTCTGAGACAGGCTGTGCTGGCTGATGCATTTTACCAATAGTGATGGTTATGAATAAACCTAGTGAGGTTCCCCTTGCCGTTTAATTGAGGTGAAATATTCACAGATCTCTGCGAACCAGAATCATCCCCAGCTGGTCAGGGGATGCAGGCTGACACCCTTTTTGGGCTCTGGGTTTCATCATGTGCCTGTAACAATTATTTGGCAGTTAGAAAATTACAAAGATGATACCTGCACTGCCTGTATTTTGCTGATAAGAGTATCTTATGCTCATACAAAAGAACTTTCAGGCCTGTTTAGAGAAGTGGGAATCACAGAGTACCCTGTTGTGGGTTAGCCCAGGTGGGCATCTGAGCCCCACACAGCCGCTCGCTCACTCCCCCAGTGGGACGGGGAAGAGAATCGGAAGGGTAAAAGTGAGAAAACTTGTAGGTTGGGATACAGATAGTTTAATAGGTAAAGTGAAAGCTGGGCGTGCAAGCAAGCAAATTAAGGAATCCATTCATTACTTCCCCTCGGCAGGCAGATGTTCGGCTATCCCTAGGAAAGCAGGGTTTCATCACATGTAACGGTGACTTGGGAAGACAGATGCCATAACTCCTAATGTCCCCCCCCTTCCTCTTCTTTTTCCCCCAGCTTTTATCACTGAGCACGTCATACAGTCTGGAATATCCCTTTGGTCATTGGGTCAGCTCTCCCAGCCGTGTCCACTCCCCGCTTCTTGCTGACCCCAGCCTACATGCTGGCGGAGCAGTGAGAAACGGAGACCCTGACGCTGTGCAAGCACTGTTCGGCCGCAGCTGAAACATGGGGGTGTTACCAACACTGTTTTGGTCACAAATCCAAAACACAGCACCATCCTACTGTGAAGAAACTTAGCGACTATGATGAAAATTAACTCCATCCCAGCCAAAACCAGTACAAACCCGTTCCTGGACAGATTCCTGCAAGGGAAAACAATTACTGAAAGAGCGTGTACTCCTTTGTGTTTGAGCTTCTGGGTCTGCTATAATCTTGCACTAGGAGATAATATAGGGCTTGTTCTAGCTTGGGGAGAGGATGCTGGAGAAATGTAAGATGAAAGGACCTTAGAAACATTAATGTTTAAATAAGGTAAATTTAAAAATTAAATGCAATTACTCACTATAGAGTAGAAAATTATATTTACTGGGCAATAGGTGAAATTTCTTCATGTCTGGTGAAAATCCATGTGCTAAGCCTTTTTAATGATATATTTTGCAAGTACTAAATAAACACTGAGAATTTAAATAATAAACCGAGCGTGGGAAGTCCCTGCAGTCTCCTGGGGAATCCTGCCCGTCCTCTGCTGCCCCTGGCTCTGGCCACGGCTTGGCCGAACGTCACACGTGTGTTGCGAGGTGCCTCTGCCCCAGCGCAGGAGCGCAGGTGCCCAGCGCGATGGCTTGCCCGCCCGTGGGGAAGGATCCCCCAGAGCTCTGGCAGGGGAGCACAGGCAGGCTGCCGAAGAGCTGCCCGGAGGCAGGCGGGGCGAGGCGGCGCTGGGAGCTGTGGAGGAGCTGGACTGTTTCTCCTCCTGTCCTGTGCAAATCCATCCCCTGATTGCCTTCCACCAGCAGGCGCTGCCCGTTCAGGGTTTGTTCAGATCCGGACGGTAGCGCGGACCGCGTTTGTTGGCTCCCGGCGGCTGGCGCCGCCAAAGCGCTGCCCCAGCCTCTTGCACCCAACGTGGGCAAAGCCACGTGGTCTCTCGCAATCCCCGCATGGGCGGCTGAGTCACTGCCCTGGCTGAACGCGGTGATCCAGGGTGTTCACAGCGTGAGGACATATCTGGGTAAAGGGCATCTTGTATCTAGCGAGAGCCCTGGGCCTGGGCCAGCTATCCTCTTGTGGGAGGAGAGGTTGCTCTGAGCCATGTCAGGGGAAGGGCTTGCGCCTGCCTGCACTCGCTGCAGGAGACTGGTAGAGAGAGAAGCTTCTCTGAAGGTAACTTTCTTTTTTCCTTCATTTTTTAATGAGTCATCTGCTTTCTTGGTCAGGATCGGGGCTGCGGCATGCAGCTGTGGCAGCGGGCAGGGAAGGGCAGATTTTAGCGGTTGCAAGGGAACCTCGGTGTCTCCTACTGAAAGGCAGGGACTGCAGGCAGATCTTGTCCTGACTAAGAAGTGAAGGACTGCTCCCGGGACGCAGGATGAAACCTCTGCAACCTTTCCTCATGTTTCTGCGATGCCACACGAGGGCCTCACAGTTACAGGGAAGACGGGTGCAGGCTGCGTCTGGGCACACAGCTCTACTGCTTCCAGCCAGCTGCCCACCAAGGCCACGGTCATCTCCATGTTTTGGCTCCTCAGGTGCATCCCTGTGAGCAGAGGGGAGGGTGGCTGGTGGGTTTAATGGTATCCCTGAGCTAGGAGAACGCACCCGCAGAACAGGATCTATCAGCCATCCCCAGAGATGCTGGGTTGCCGTAAGAAGTGCCCTCTGTTGGTGGACCCTGCGCAGGTAGGACGGGGCATCGGAGGGTGGGAGCCCTGAGCAGTCACCTTGGGAGCAGGAGGTCACCCAAAGAGGAGAACATCTCCCAACCTTGCTCCGTGTGGGACATCTCTTGGTGGTGGCCCCATGTTGAGTGTTCCCAGGCCTAAGCAGCCCTCAATGACCTGGGTCTTGCTGCTCTCTCCCCGCAGCACTGAACAGCCATGGAGAAGATGCAGCAGATCGTTGGACAGGCGAGAGCCGCCTTCAACTTGGGCCGGTGCCGCCCGCTGGAGTTCAGGATGCAGCAGCTGAAGGCCCTGGAGCGGATGGTGCAGGAGAAGGACCGGACCTCAGCCATCAAGGTGGATCTGCACAAGGTCTGGCTTGGTCGGGAGTTTCTCCCTCTGCTGTGCATGGACAGTGGTCAGCTCTCAAGAAAGCAGCAACCCCAAGGGCTGCCTTTGCCGTGGCAGATGGCTTTTGCTGATGTCCCCCCTGGTCCCAGATGACCTTGCCCTGCCTCCCTGGGCTGCCGTGGTGGGTGCAGGAGGTGGGTGCTTTTGCTGTCCCCTCCCTAAGCTCCCTGTCGTTGCAGAGTGGGCCCAGTGTGTACAGCCATGAGATCCTGGGCATGCTGAAGGAGCAGGGCTGCCGTCCTGGGCAGCCCCTCAGCCTGTGAAGAGGGACCTGCTGACGATGCGCGATGAGGCCTACATCTGCCCCGAGCCGCTGAGGGTGGTGCTGATCATTGGGGCCTGGAACTACCCCTTCGTCCTGATCATGCAGCCTTTGATCGGTGCCATCGCAGCAGGTGGGGACCCACCGCAGCCCCTCTCCTTCGTGGGGCCGTGGGAGGCGGGAGAGGAGCACGAGGGCTGAGTGGCCGTGCTGCATTTGTCTTGTAGGCAATGCTGTGGTGGTGAAGCCGTCGGAGATCTGCGAGAACACAGCTCGGCTGGTGTCTGATCTCCTTCCCCAGTACCTTGACCAAGTGAGTGAGGCCCTGTGCCTGAAGTGATTGTCTTGAGGAAATATCTGTCATGCTTTCGAAGGGCTCCTGCAGGTTAGAGTCAAATCAGTTGCCTACTCTCTCCAAAGGAGTGTAAGCAGGAGATACAGGAAGGGTTGAATTACTCTGAGGGTACAGAGGCAAGTTGATATATTCTTCCTGTGTTTGTGTAACCTAATGTGCCTACGTAATGTTGCTGCAACGCGACAGCCTTTTTGACGTTCACGACTGTGTAAAGAGGTGTGCATATATATCTCACTGCAATAATTGCTCTCTTGGACACTGTGCTGGGGTTGCCTCTAGGTAAGCACAAGTTTGCTTTGGATGCTGGCTGCGCCTGGCTCTTCCTGAGAATTGGGCGCCATTTGCTCGGTGGCAGTACGGCCCAGGTTTTC